TTATGCATATGCAGTGTAGATCCACGATTCACATAGATCCGAGGACTCTATGATGGAGATGGAACAAACAACAGTCGGCGACATAGAAGTTGCCTTACAAGATGCGCAGATTTTGACACAATCCGAAACTATTTGGAAGAGAAACCCCTTAGATCTAGATCCTCCAATTGGCTCAAGACACCGATTTCTTCTGGCAGTTTTCGAGTAATGCCCAAAATCGTCAGGTTCCTTCACAAAGAAAACATTCGAATCAATTATACTATAGAGATGAGTAAAACATAATTTACATTGGATGAATGAAACTGAAAACAGTTGCTAACTAAGCAATTATCCCCACTCTTGAGATATCCTGAATAACTTTCAATTAGAGCATTCAATCTGTATTTGCAATTTTCACGAGATACGCACGAATATTATGTTATTTGATTGCAAACTTCCGACAAACTTTAAAGTATTTCAAAGTTTTGATTTCAGCCCTGTACCGATTTCACAGTTCCAATTATGTGATGGAAGGGAAACTCTGGAGATCATTTGTGTCGGAGGTCGTGTCAAAAATTGTTTTCATTTTTCGCATATATGAGGGTTACCCTGTAACCCATTTGGCTCTACCTTTACCTTACCTTATAGCCAAACCTCTACCTTTACCCTTACCTTTTAACCTTTTACTAGGTAATCCTAAAAGGTTACCTTACCTTGCCGAGGCCTAACTGGGACTACAAAGCAAGGTCATGGCTACTCAGCGTTTCTCGAGTTTGTGTTGAAGCTTTTGCGGCAGCAACCGGAGTCGTGGCGGCGGGTGGGCCGCAACATCGCGGGTGGCAATTTCGGGTTCCAGCTGGGTGTATGACTGGCTAGGCACCGGGTGCTGATTGTTGGAGGGATGGGAGATTATTATTAGCAAGCGCACCGAGGATTTTGGGAGGATAGTTAACTAGGAGAAGAAGGAGGTATTTGCTTGATGGGACCCCATACAAACGTAAATTGCTTGATGGGACACATCAAGTTTCAATTTATCTGATGGGACCCCACGGACGGTGTGCCGTCGTTGAGTTCTAGTAGGGGTATGTTCTTCTCACAAGTGACTCGCCTTTGTTACTGTCATCTACTATGTGGCTAATTCAAGTCTGTCTTAGGCTCTGATGGGTCCTTTTTTGCGAGAAGGCAAGAGTACATGTTCACCATTATCTATGAATTAGTCTTCATTGTAACTTTGCAAAATTGGTTGCATCTAAACAGTAATCTCTCACTCTGTGCTCAAGAAGTTATGATCCAATCCAAGGAGAAAAGCGGTGATCAATCAATTTAGAATTCTGTGAAAATATACCGTAATTGATGTTCAGATGTTTAGCTCACACGAAATTAACAACTAGCTAGTTCAACTCTCATGGTGGACATCCACGCTTTGAGATCTCGAGTTTGATATAAGTGGGTGCCCGAACCTAAACTGTTCAGAAGTCAGCGCTCGATCACCACGATCTAGCAAGCAAAAAAATTGAAGCTTCCTCCTCCAGACGCTAGCAGCGGTCCGAGCTATTTTTTCATCTTTCCCACCTTACCGTGACATTGTTCCCAAGAAAGTGGTTCAGCAGGGCCAGACTTTGCGCAGCGATTCGAACGGCGAAACGAAGTATCACGTGCTGATGTTAACACAAAATGTGACCCACGCACCGTCGTCTGTTCATACTAGAACAATGTGACGTGGACCGTCGGTGAGGTTTCATCAGATAAATTGAAACTTGATCGGTCCCATCAAGCAATTTACGTTTGGATTGGGTTCCATCAAGCACATGTCTCGGAGAAGAGGCAATGAGGAAGGGGAGGGCGTGAGCTGTTGATTTCGTCAAGGTGGATCAGACGATGGCAATGAGGTAGTGACGAGATTGGAATGAGCTGAGGATTGAGGTCCGGGTGAGCAGTAATAGAAGGGGACCATTGCTGAGATGGACGACGAGCGTTTTCGATGGAGAAGATAGCGGCAAGGGGGAGGAAAGCGGGCAGCAGTAGAATTGGATGATGAACGGAGCGGGCTTGATGACGACAAAGAGACGAGAAGTGGTCATCAGGTACAGCGTGTTATTCTTAACTGAGCACCCAGGATGAAGTATCTGATCAATCACAAAACTCTACGAGGTCAATGTAACGTAACAATTGTTTTTTATCTTTAGACTATGATTTTTAGTTTTTTATTGTTAGATTTTATTAATTTTTTTTTCAAATGTCAAAAATTATATGTCATAAATGAAAAATTTGCAAATTTATGCAAATCTCATAAAGTTAAACAACAATATGAATATATATTTTATAATTTTCTAGTTGAATTTATGAAGTACAATATGGTATTAATTTCATTTTTTTCTTAATTTAGTTAAAAAATTTACAAATGTTTGAATATTTAAAGCATAGAAATACGTAGTAAAATATATTTTAACAATCAATTTAAAAAAGTTAAGAAAATTTTATAATTTATTATTATCATTATTTTATTGTGATAGGTTGGAATTTTATTCAATTTTTTCTCAAATATTACGTTTTAAATATTCTTGAAAATTCATATGTTATTTTTTCCGTCGTTATTTACAAAAACGTCTTGTGATCGTCTTCTGTAAGACTGCAAGACGTTGTGCCGAAACTCATGTGGAAGTTCTGAATGACTCGATGAATTAACATGACTAATCACTTCACTTTGCTTGTACTCCTGGCTGATCTAGAGGTTTCTCAATGTTTTTTCAGATATTACTGTCACACTGATTTGATACATTTGTCACGACAGGTACAGCGTCCTCTGGCAATGTGGGCAATTCTTTGATAATGTCGATTAGATCAGCAATCAAACGTGTGGCCACGACTGAAGGAAGACCTTGGAGGGTCAGAAGTGTGAAGACCTCGGAGGGTACATTGGAGAATTCCGGGTACTTATAGTCGAGCACGACGCGCTTTTAGAGGAACATTGAGGGTCAAAAAGCTGTATGATTCATGCTACTTCATGGCACTTAACGCGGGCGACGTTCCTGACTGGAATTCTCGTGGCTCCAGGATAAATCAGCAGGTCTTAATTGTCCAAAACTAATTCGATCGATGGTATATGCAACAGGATGCCACGTTTCGCAGGTGAACTTGTTGACTAGTGACATATTTACCCGATTTGTTAATCAACACTGGAGAAGGCTATGTGTCATTTTGGTTCAAAAGTGTGAGGAGACTTTCACATTCTTTGCTTCTGTAACAGAATTACTAAAAAATTGGTCACCGACTCCGATGTGTATAATTGACTCCGATCCTCCGCATGGACTCTGATATTTACTGGAAAACGACGGTTTGTGCTGATTCCACCGCAGCAGTCAGTCACCAATGCTTCGTCACTTATACACACTCCTGTTGACTGCCGATTTGGAACCTGTTGGGACTCGAGTTCTGAGCAGCTCATTCGCGCCTGTCACTTGGCATCTTTCGTCTCAGATGCTGACATATTTCGAGTCCTATCGCTTTCTATCGTGCAGCCTGGACCCCTGCGGCATCGTTTAATATGTCGAGCATCTAAAGTCTGTTTCTACGAGCGGTTAAAAGCCTGTTTGGGCTGAGAGGTTCAAGAAGTGGGTTGAGAACAAGCACTTTATCTTCATCGACAGCGGAAGCAAAACAGAGACGTCGTCAATCGAATGAATTGGCATTGATCAAGCACCGCAATGCTCCTAATAAAAGGAATAGATATAGAAAATCAGCTTGAAATTCGTTCAAGCCTTTTGTAATTGTGGGGCCTTCTCGAATTTCAGAGCTGACATTTCATATAGCGATTATACCCCTGTCGTGACGACAGAAGGGATGAGCCACCGGTGGCCGATCTAGAACTAAAGTTTGCGCAAGCTTAAAGGATTTGTGTTTGTTCATGTCAAGCAGAAATCCTCAGATGCGGATCAAGTTCAGGTTCATGGTCTTCGGCTGGAGATAAAGATGGTGCAACAGAGGTTGACCGATCAAAACCGATCGATTCTCTCATAGGTGGTACTATCCAAGAGGATGCCAAAGTGTATCATAGAAATTCAGTTAGCTAACTCAGGCACCCGACAGTTCCTAGTGCTGGCAAAACGAAGCTTCCATATTGAGAAGTTTTAGTTTGTCTAATTTTCGGATCCTATGATCTCCGGACTTTGGTTGGTGTTGATGTCCTCAAATTTTTTTGGTCGGATATGATTCTAAGCTTTCGATTCTTCACCTGTTGAAGAAAAACACGCGGCGATTCCTGACTTGAACACTGGAAGATTTCCTGGAGATACGATACGAGACCATACCATACTGAAATGATCCTTCGTGATCAGATAATTAGAATCAAAAGCGATGATCTGGTCTCCACACTTTCAAAATTTAATTGCCTTGTGCGGATTCTGTTCGGTTGCAAAGGAATTCACCCGTTTCCAAAGATTGTATACAATAACAAAGCAGACGCCTATGAAATAACGAATTGAGACTGAAGACAAGTTAATCTTTGTGACTGGAGCCTCAAGCTTTTTGTGAAGTAAGGGCTTAGCTTAAGAAGTTTACACAGTCGTACCCTACAACCTTTAAGTAGGTTCTGACTCCGATCATCTCATAAACAGGAGAGTGGGCTTGATGACATTGCCGTATACATGAAGTCGTTGCTGACATTTCTGCATCCATTCCTATTCTTGATTCGGCATGTTTGCTTGTACAACTGATTTATGCAGAGGGGTATTGATAGTGACAATGGACCCTAGGACAGACCATGTTTTTCCCAGCCATGTAAAATTTTGAGCCTGGATCTATTCAAACGACTAATAAACATCAATATATTTTATCCTATTAGGCATAACAACAAGTTCGATAATCTCAATCTCGGGATCATGGCGAGAACTACACCCTGGCAAGAATCATAGTCATTGACTGAGAAATCAGTGCTGTGAGCAACGATTGAAGTGGTTTGAGAAGACACTTTTGACGTGATGTGATTGTCTGAATTCCGAACATAAGAAAAGATACGTCAGGTTGCCGCATGTCAACATTCTCAATCTCCTCATTTCAGATAAGTTCTTAAATCTACAATCAGTTAGCATCTCGGAGTCTTTAGTCTGCATTCAGTTGGTGATGCAGAGAGGCGTTTCAGCCTTTCGAAAGTTCAGAAAATTCTCGGTACACACCATGAGCACATAGGCGTATTCGAATGTGAGCAAGTATATTTCCTTCACGCAAGTCTCGACGATCATCTGTCCTCGGCATTCTGAGCATCACAAGATGACTGAAATCTACTAATTGAACTACATGTTCCTCTTTAACCTTTTACAAGATTTTACAATTCTCCATCCTTGTTACTCTGTTCTGACATAAGGCCTGTGCAGCAAGAGAACTTTCACTCTGTATCTGACCATGCATGTGATCTTTTTTGCTTCACATAACGGTGAACATTATTCTCCCCGGTACTCGCCTCAGGTGTCTCAGTGCAGACGAATCTAAGCTCAGGCTGGGTCTGACCCAGTAATTGCAAGTGGATACGATTGTCAGATATTGTCTGACGTACTTCCCCTGTTTCCTCCATACCTCGTGGAGCCAACGTCATATGGAACTCGAAATAAGCTGGGTGCAAGTTCAACAGGCTATTAGAACGGGTGTGCTCGACGAAGCATGACCAAGATGGAGAAACCGTCAATGGGTTCTTATCTCCCTTTGTTTTCGCTATGTTTTAGTTGAATGGTCCCATTCGGACTTCGTGGACTTCTTCCCATGGACAGTTCGGTTCAGCATCTCATCTGCTCGCTTTCTCCAGTGCCTAAATGGATGGAGAACAGGATTGGTTGTCCCTCGATCGTTTGTGTCAAATTCTCCTTTTGACCTCAGAAGATCGAGGCTGCCAAAAACAGATTGCCACGGGAAACTTTGTGCACTCCACTCAATCATTCACAAGATAGTTGCGCTTGACTTGATTCTCTTCTCGCCTCCAGGAGTGCACCAGGAGCTATGAAGAGCTGTCACTCTTATCTTAGGGTCTTTGCCACCGAAACTTTTCGAACCACGATGACCTGTCTCCAACTTTCTCGTGGCATGCCCACAGTTTCGTGACCAGAGTATTATCATCTCGTAATCTCACACTAAGTAGAACAACCGTGACAATTTCTTGGTCTTACTGCAGTGAACTGTCATCAAAGGATGAAATCACCTGGTTATTCAGTTTGCTTCTTGAAAGGAGCATCCAATGGAAAGTAGTCGCTTCTAAGTAGGGACAAGGGGCATCCAATTGATCCAATCGTCTAGATCCAATCGTTTGCTTCTCGAAATAAGCTTTCCATGAAGGTTGTTGGCTGCCAAGTCGGAAAAGATGTATGGACATCTTCTCTGCCTCGGTTGTTACGAGAGCTTGGAAGCCTTTGATTCTGGAGTAGATGAAGCTCATTATATCTTGATTCTAGACGATGATCAATCAGCACACAAGGACTACCAGCAACAAGGAAACGTCCTTTCGGATACACCACGTGCGAACTCGTTGCTGAAAATCGTTGCTTACATTGTTCAGGGCATCGGAAAACGAAATGCCGCGGAAGCAAGACTAAGTCTTCATTTGGAGTAGACGAAGCCATGCAGCAAAAGGTACTCCCGTATCAGGCAAACCAAGAAACAGAAGACACTTCCAGTCCACGCATCCGACGCCGAAGGGATAAGCGCACGGACAGCCAGGGGAGCAGCTCAAGAAGACATAAGTAGAATGGACACTGGAAACAGTAGGCCGATGTCAATGCTTAAGAAGTAGAGTGATACATTATCTCTCGTTATCTCTGTGAGCCAATCAGCGACTCGTCGGGGCGCTGCCCACCATCAAGAGAAAGTACTGTATCACTCACTATACCTACTGTATGCTACGCAAAGCAAAGCTGATCAATCCACAGCTGGAACTCATATATACAGAAGGAAGGCAGAAGCTTCCTGCTTCATACTTATCCGCAAAACAACTGCAAGTTCGTCAGTGCTATGTCATCGGTCAAGGTGCAAACTATAATTTGCAGCGAACGATTATTACGGAAGGACATCTGATGGGGATCGCATTCACATGCCTGCAGAGACGATGGAAGAAACCAACAAGAGCAGAGCATACTTTCACAGATTTCAAGAGGGCAAGAAAGTAAACGAATATCGGCATCAGAAACAACGAAGCAACCCCGGAGGTAAATTTTAGTCAAAGGAGGCAACCGGGAAAATAATATCTACATCGAACTTGATAGTAGAAAGGCAAGAAAACTTCAGTGTAGGGAGAAGTCAGCCCAAAGGAGTTGATGTAAAACGCAAGAAAAGACAAGTATCTTCTCTTTGCTGCTCAAGAGCTCTCGAAACCTGACACGGGGAAACCTGCAGCAGTGATGGAATCTTGAAAGATCATGGAGTAGCAAACGTCCAGTTAACCACCACTCATAAACCAGTACTTTATTCTTCTGCATCTTTGTGTAGAGGATCGTCATCCTGGTGGCATTTTAACGCTGTGCTGCTCTCACGGCAGAATGTGGTTGAGAAAACGTTCCTGTTTTACCGCCTGAGTGTCATTTCCTGACACAGAATCTTACCATCCCTCGTATCGTCCTGCCCTTTTTCTCTTTTCCATCTCCTGCGCCTTCAGTTTCGCACCACCGAGACCCGAAGTCGCCGAAGAAGAAACATACGAGTCATGTGAGCACGCATAGAGCCCTCGCCTTCCGATGCACACGAGTGTGGATTCGGTGGGTTTGCAACGAAACTTCTGACATTATTTATAATCGACGCTTCGGTGAGTATTTAAGTGGGCCTCTGTTCCGCTCTTCTTCGGTCGGCAATGAGTCTACTGCTTCCAGTCCTCTTCTAACGCAGTTGCAGTGCATACGGGCCCCAGCTGTGGGTCCCCTTCCTTCCCGTAACCTGCGATGGTCGCAGAGGAAGACCTCATCTGCAGCTTCTTGGTCAGAAAGTGTCAACAACGCGAATCCGTTTCCTCGACATGCTCGTTCTCCTCGCTTGACGACATGCATGTCATTTGATGTTTAAAATCACCGGCGATGACGATATCATGCCTGCCATTCTCCATCCGTGGCGTGTTGATGAAGGAAAGCTTTGTGTAGGATGAGATAGGAGGAAGAGCTCCACACACTCCGACCATCTCTTCAGAAATGGATTCCCTTCACACTCACGTCTCCGGTCCGTGGGGGTTGTTTCACAGTTTTCCTCGGCGAAATTCCTGATCCAGAGAAGAGCTACCCAGTTGCTATCAAAAGTCTCCCTATCCCGGTATAATTGAGCCACCGAAGCAGGCCGCACTTATAATTTAGCCTAGTGCATGTGGCCCGGCATTTTGTGATGTGGACATGGACCATGTGTGCGTCTTGTTGGTATTGATTCCTATCACTTCCTTTCACGAATTTTTGTTTCCTGATGAACTCGACGAGGATATCGCTGTGGAGGTACACGAGACTTAGAGTCCCGTGTAACTCCACAACATCCCGTCGTGATGTTACTCCTGCGAGGTCAAGCTCTTCTGTAGGTGGAACGTTTTTAGTGTGTCTGTGAACGAGTATGGGGGACTGGATCAGTGGACAACAATAAATTCCAAAGAAAACAGTCTGTCCACGTTGTGGAGGAGAAGTATTCTGGCGTGTTATCAAATTTTATATAGAAAATAGCGGTCAAGTGATAGAAAACGACATCTACACATAAGGAAGTCGCATGAGGGTTCGAACACCGTCACACTTGCACTATACAAGGTCGTGGAGCCGATCCCAGCCACAAGGCCCTCCCACAGAGACTTCGCCTAAGTCCCAACACACACTCGAATGTTCCCATTGCACTACAATAGACCACTCCCTAGTCCAGTGCACAAATACACATCCGGCCCAAACACGCGAGAATACTTATGCTCTTACCGACCGCCGCTGCTCCACGTGCAGCAGTCGCAAGGATGCGAGGAATTCCAGAGAAGTGCCTACACGCCCACATTATCAACATGAGATACAATAAATAAGATGGATTTCCAGGACCGAAGGCTAGAGACTCAGACCGACCTGCTTTTCCTCCCATCTTGCGGACTTCAAGGAGTCCGCTGCGAGCCACATGTCAGAGAGAAGTCCAAACCTCATAAAAGAAGGTCATCCTATCTCTGCGGTAACTGCCGAGACATAAATTCCCATCGTCTCAGGACTCTCGGTCTCAGCGCAATGGTGCAGCAGGACTCGCCAAAGCAACATCTCAGCTCTCTTCCTTTTCAGATCGATCAAGACCCTCTGGTCTGTTGTCAGGTGGATGTCTGCGTAGTGGAGGTTAATCAGGACGGACCCGAATAACATAGTTCGTGTCAAAGTTTGGTAGTAAAGGTATATAGATGAATTCTTGACCGTGGATGATAATAATTGCGCATTTTTTTAATCTCCGTGAGGCCTTCATACCTTCCCATCGATATGAAAAGACGACTGACAGAGCAGTACAAGTCAAACTTTACCAGCATCATACCGCGTTCAAGAATATTGTTCTAACTGTACTTCTTACTGACACATAATTCACCCTTCAAGCAATCAACACCTAGAAAATAAGATGTCACGGGAATGTTTCTCATTTTGATCGATGCACTTGCGGCGGATTCTCTAACATTTATCTCCAAGTTTGAGTTTTTTTTTCATTATTTATGGAGGAGAATTTGAAGTGGAAAATCCTCTGAAACCTGATAGAATATGTTTTGATGACATTTTTTTTCTCCTTTTTGGGTGACCTCAACGAAAAAGATTCTCATCCCGAATATACAATACAGCATAAACGTCGAAACCGGATCGTACTTTGCATGTATCTTCTTCTTATTCACAGTAGGTACAAAAAGGATATTTACATGGTACATGTGACCACTCAACTTTCTTTGGGAGGAAACGTTCAACTCTCTTTCAGTAAAACCGAATTGACCGAAGCCACATATTCGAGGTCCAAATTTGAGAGATGGTGACGTCCATCCTTTCCAACGAACAGGAAGTTCATACATATCTTCTCTGTCTTCCTGATCCAATTTAGGATGTGTCTAAATATTAACAAGTATTTTATAAGGTTGGACTACTTTTGAAACAAGACTATTTCTGTAAAGTCTGAAAAGTGTTAATATTTGTACCTTGTAACAACCTACTTCTACTAAGAAACTGAAAGTTTAAGTCTGACACATTCTAAGTCCATAAGTGTATAAACTAACGATTTTAGAAAACTTCCATGATCTAAATGTCATAAATTATAGGAAGACAAATTTTCCCCTTACTACATCATATATTTACAATAAAGAAAATTATGTGAAATTTATGATTCATATCCAACTAGTTCAAAAATTTGAAGCGAATTTTGATGACAAGTCAGTCGTATTTATGTGCATGGAAGAAGGGTACCAAGAGGATATTAGAAAAAGGTGAGAAATCCCCATTAACCCGGACAATGAAGAAAAAGAATGGCAGAGGCTACGCTCCAATATCTCTCATGTGAAAAGCGCTAGTCTGTGCTCTTTGTAGTGGAACAAAAATAAATAACCAAAATAAACTACACGATAACCTAGAGGATGAACCTACCAAAAACATCTTGTGCGCACTCTAGAAAAAATGTCATGAACTTTTGCATCATAAACATGCATATAAGGTTTTTTTAAAATAATTAGACATTTGCATTTATAACATGCATGTAATTTTCTTCTTTTAAATAGCAACTCTTTATTTCTGCCTTTCACACCTAAAAGACCCCAATATTGAAGTATATCAAATTCTTTTCCAGTTTTGCTTGTATGAAAGTTTTCATACACGCAAATAATGCCACTTTTCTTTAAAAAATCTTCCGTAAAATCAACGATTAGCGCGAAATGCAATCTCGGAATTCATGATCATCTATGGTATAATCGAGTGGAAATCCATAAACGAAGCATTAGAATCCATAATATACAACACATTTCATATGTGAAGTCTACAGGTTCCCAAATTCCTCCAACGATCCAAAATTACTCCACGTAAGTTTTCTATACAGTCCGATCGTCGACGATAGACACACGTATACTGAAATCCAACGGCCAATTTTGTTCACCCGTCCTGTGCAGAATGTGAAAGTATATCAAATCATGCACAGGAGGAATATATATTCTGGACAAAGTGCATGGAAACCGTGAGGGACAACGCCTACCATTTATAGTCCTACGGATTGCTGACACGTAAGTCCGTTGTTATTTCTTCGAGAGCGCCGTCTTAGCCGCAAATCCATTCTCTTACTGGAACAGGTAAAAGGTGAACGGGGAAAACCTGCACCTTTAGCTGCTGCAACCTCTCGGACACCGATCGTCTGGAGATTGACGAAGGAGACCGCTCTCTCTCTCTCTCTCTCTCTCTGCTAGATGTGTTAATGAGAGGTGACGGTGAGGGCACATTGGTAACAATAAATCTGATGGCCGTGAGGTGCTGCGCTGCGTGGGTTGATGAGTTCGGGGCCTCAATGTTGTCATGCCTCTCTAAAGGGGGAATAGTTCGTCGGCAAAAGGTCGCGAGAGAGGGAGGCAGGCAGGGCGGGCGAGCGAGCGAAGTTGATGGAGTGGAGCGGGTTGGCCCAGCCCAGCGCTGCCCCACAGTTGTGATGCGGAGCAACCTGCCACGTCTTATATGTTGCTCGTGTGCGAGTGAAAGTCGCACGTTATCTCTGTGCAGTAAGGAATCAGATACGACATAGTTCGACAGCATAAGATACGCTAGGCCTCGGAGTTATGTCATGTCGTTCTTTTAGGCGAATCGCAGTCGGTGATCACGTAATCAGAATTGCTCACCACGTTTTGGAGATCGCTGTCTTCATGGCATTCACGACTTGGTGATCGATCCGCTGTGTTTGTTTTCGCGACTCTTTGGTAGATGTACGAGGAATGTCGCATGGAATCCTGCGTAATGAAGCGCAGCCCTCTCGCACAGACTATTCTCGAGTCTGCTTGGGTTCTTGCGATGCCATGCTGGAAAGAAGATAATCGTCATACGAATGTCGAAATGAGGATGGATTGCTAGATCAATTGCCGTTGGGGGCAAAAGCGTATATGTGAGTCCACTACCCGTAAGCAATTCTCAAACAAGCAGCCCAAAAATTGTAATAGAAATCACATTTCATTTGAGTCGACCGGTGGCACAAGAGAACGCAGAAGACCAAGTGAGTGAAGCCGCGTTTAAGGAACATAGCCACAGACTTTATGACAGGTCCGCGTTTCCAGCTTGATTGCCCGTGGCAGATGATAGCGTGGGATCCTCCCCAGGTCACAAAGAAAAGCCTGCGATTTGAAAGAGAGTTCAAATCTTCTGCATATCTGCCGCTTCTCAGAAATTGATCGCCAATTCTTGAGGGTCCTTTACAAACCGCGTTGAATTTTCGAACCGTTAGACAGATTTACCCTTTTGGTACTGCCAAAAGGGTAAATCTATATGACGTTTACTTGTCAATAGATATCGAAACTGCATCGGGTCCATGTTCAATTTAAGAATCGTGTACGTCTTGGAGGAGAACTCGATCCGTTTGTCTTGCAGTAGTCGACTGCCGTGGGTTTCAGGATCCTCCGTACATGAATTATCCACAATTAGACTCACGTACACGAATACGAACGAATACAACACGGAACGGTGGATATAGCGTCGACCGTGGAGACCGAATACGGCCACCACCAGCAGGCCCACGGGTGGTGGATCAGGATGAGAGCGAGCAGAGAATGTTTCATCCAGTTATCAAGCTTAAAATGTCGTGAGGGAGCATAACTCTCCCTATGATTACGAGTATCGGAGTAGAAGTAACAGTAAGCCATTGGATCGAAATCTACTGTGCCAAAAGTATTTTCACTGTTGCGTTCACCCACCGTTTCGACCATGTTCACAACAGCTGGAAGGCTTAATGACTACCTAGCCTTGTAGCTCCAGCTGAGGTTGGAATATAGAGCCGAGACACGATATTCTATCTCAGTTCGTGGCATGTTACCTTCCCTGGATAGCAGCGTCAATCATCATCGCTTCCGAATTAGATATCTTTCTGGCGTAGTGCACAAGTGGGCGCATCTCGCTTTCTGTTCCAACGTTGACCGAATGTTGGGTACGAATTTCAGGTTTGCGAGACATCGAAGACATTCAGTGGAATTGACTTGCATACACACAGGTCGGGACGCATTCAAACGGTTGAACGAGCAAGCATGGTCATCTAACGCTCATCCCTTGATTTGGGATCTTCGTCTTGTATATTTGCTGAATCGTTCTGTGAACCCACTGAAGAGCTTCCCTGGGGTGACTCAACCTCTAGATCTACGCTGAAAATCTACACTTTTAATGGATCTGGTTTTCCAGATCAATTGTCTGACTAATTCAAACCTACGATACCTAAACTAACCAAGTACCGACTGACTATCTTATGCATCCGCCGAATTCTATATCTGAGATGGTTCTGAGAGACAGGCCAAAATATTGATTGTAGGCGTTAGACCACTATGAATTCGGTAGTCGTAAGGGAAAAAACCTTGTCAACTCTACGCACCAACATTCAGAATTTCGTAAACTCTGGGCAAAATCCCGCGTTTCAAAATTGCGTGATTAGTTTCTAAAGATCGATTGCACGTGAACGGACATGAAGGGCAACTCTCTGGCTGTTTGTTGCGCGGCTGTGACCCCGCTGCTCGCTCTCGCTCTCGCAAAAATCCCGTGAGGAGAGGCCCATCTTGCCGTGCGAAAGTTGTGGCCAGAATCGGCCATTCGTAAAGGCAGATCGCATGTCACGCAAGGTTGTATTCACACTTTCATGAATGATGGCTCCAATGTGACCAACAGAGATTCGCCCACGTTCAGACTCGGTCTGCCATCTTCGAGGACGTAGTCCGGCAGCCAATCCCACGTATTCGCCTTCAAATCATGTACAAGAACACGCCATATCATCGCCCCGACAGTAGTCTGCTCGGCAACGGGTGCGGGTCCGGAGAAGTATATACGATCTCCGCTTCCCGCAATCGACATTTCGATAGCGTAGGTGTAAAATCCGCCTTGATTGATCCTCTTGTTCAATGTCTCGTGCAGCTCGATGGGCATCTCTCCCACCTTCTCCCAAGTCAACGCCAAGGCTGCTGGTCCGTCCGCAACCCTGCTCTTCAACTTGTAGAAAAACCAGGTATTGTATCGAACCCTCTTCTTCGTCCACGACGCTCGCGCCACGTACAACACATCCCCTCTATTTTCCACTAGGTATGGCCTACCTGCACCTGTGTGCTTGGGTAAAAACGTCACCTCCCTCCAGCTTTTCTCGGCGACATTGTATTCTAGCATCCGCGGATTTCGCTTTTGCGCCTTGTACTCCCTGGCGTGAGCCGAAACCAGCCTCCTCTTGAGAAAGAACAACCTGCCTTCTGACGAGATGGCCGAGTAGATGAAATCCAGACACCCACGCGAGAAATGCGACGGAATTTTCCCCCCGTCCTCCCAAGACCGACTCACCGAATCGTACACGAGAATTTGCACATCGTTCGTGAAGTAACAAGCAGCTATGACCGAATACTTACTCCGCAACCTATCGACCACCATCCCCACCGCATTCACCCGCACCTTCTTCGGATTTTGGGCGCTCACCTGTGGGTCCTGCGCTGTGCAGAAAGGCACTTCAATTTGCCTCCACTTCCTCGTCACCGGGTTGTAAACGGTCATAATCAAATCCTCGACACTCTCGGCGATGTCCAGACGCGAGTCCGGCCGAGTGCTACGGGAAACCACAAACACCAGGCCTCCTGCAGTCATGAATCTAAATTCGCCCAAAGTTTCCCTCTGAGCGGACAAATGCGCCACCAAGGAACCTAGAAAGAGCTTTCCCCACGTTCCGCGCGTTGAATTGAAAGTGTCCACCTCGAAAGATTTGTGATCCGACTTTTTGAATCGAAACGAGCTTCTGGTGATTCGAACGACGGGCAGAGTTTCGGAGTCGTGCAGTCTGGTGTCGGTAATGTAAGACGACATGTTGGCGGAGCTCCAGTGTCTGCAGACCCGACGCCACTTCATGAGAGTCTCGACGGGAACGCGTTGCAGGATGAGGTCCAAAATCTCCACCGGCAAGGCGCTCCACAAAGTCGACCGAAGCTCGGCCTCGCTCCGCGTCTGCTTGCACTTGGATTCCATCGTCGCCCCTTCGTCCATCATCGTGCACAACCTGAGCTGCGTCAAGGGATCCAAAGCGTCTGACGAGTCGATCTCCATCTTGCACGCGAGGGCGACCGCACCGAAATCGCCCTTGAGATTACACAGGACTAATTCGGTGCAAGGATCATCTCCCGGATCATCTCCCGGATGGTCACTCGGCGTGACCATCCTGGCCCGCTTGGGATTGTTGATCCAATCCAGTCTGAAATGCTTGCAGAGGTCGCGAGGGATTTGCCAAAAAATGTCGAGGCGATTGGAAAGGATGTGGAATGTCGAGACTACTATATAAGCCCCCGGTCGGTGCACCGCCGGCGAGTCGAATAAGGCAAAGGTCGGTGCCTCAAGCCCGCACTCGGGGTGTGCGAGCAAAGCGGCTCGAGACGCAGCGCAGCGCACTTACTATCTTCGCGGGGAAAATGCTGTAGCAAACCGGCCGCTAGCGCTGCTGATGCTGGTTGGATACGCTAAGCTTTTTAGGAGAGGCGGCGCGGCCGTGGAAATGATCGCTTGTCTTTACGATCTTACCAGCTAGTCTACTAATGACGAATGACGAATGATCCCGCTTACGGCCCTGATAATCATGCACCCCCGGCCATCAGGCTTGATGACTGACAGACAGACAGACATACGGACGGACAGACCAGACACCCCTCCGCTGCTCTCTTGCGCTCGCCGCTCGCCCTCTCTTTCTCTCTCTTTCTGCGAGATGTGGAAAGTCTCTCTGACAGGCCAATGCCAACTTTCGAATGTTCAGAAAGCATGCAAAAGTCCGTGAAGCTTCCGCGAACAATCCGGCCGTTGTAATCCTGCGGCAGGCTGAGACGCAGGTCTGCCTTATCTCCAGTGCGGCCGGAGAAAATCGAGAGCGGCACGCAGCGCAGTTTGAGGCGACGCACCGCAGGGCTCAACGACTGGAAGTCGAACCCAGCGGGGATGGGATGGGATGGGATGGGATGAGCACACGAAAGAGAACGGAAGCGAAGGGAAAGACCAAGCGAGGGCAACGAGAGGTGATGGCAGGTGACGTAAGCGCGCTAGCTTTCGGCAATCATAACGCAGACGTCCGGATCCCACTTGGCAGCAGCAGGAGCGGGAGCACGAGGAGGGGGGGCGAGATCGTAAATGAGAACGGGGAAGCGGTCCGAAGACTTGGCTGGAGGAGGAGGAGGAGCAGCAGGAGCAGGAGCAGAATGGACTCTTCAAACAAACGGCTGCCGAAGAAGAAAAAGATCCACCTTCGAATTTTGGAGATCTCCGCTGCTCTTGAGAGGCCGCGAGGTGAAGCTGCAGCAGTCTTCACCATTAGAATCGGAAGCTCAGGGGCGTCCCCGGTGCTCATGACCAGATGATCGCTTCCCCTCTTGGCCTGCGGGAGCGAGGAGATCCAGCTAGCTAGCTAGCTAGTGATGAGCGACCCCGCCTCACCACCGTTCGAGATCTACACTCGTACAATAGTCGGCATGACATTGACGACTAGGCTAAGACCCGATACTGATCTCTGACTGATGACTGACTCCTGTTCGTACGATCGGCTCTTCGAGGGAAAAGATTTAAGGCTCCCGTGCTGACCGAGGCCAGGCCCTGCTCGATTCGGCCCCCATCCCCCCGCCCCGACTGCCCTGCCCATCTTGGGCCCCAAGGCACGGGACCAGCATCGTCGCGACGTGTGGACGTCGTGGCCGTCTCCCGACCCGAGCCGAGCCATGCCCGTGATTCAACAGCGTCCTGCACCTGCAGGCGCGACTGGATCCCTCTTCCGACTAACGACGCGCTCGCTATCACTGTGCATGCACTTCCTGTTCCGACAGTTCCGCTCCTTCGCCTCTCGGGTCTACCTGTGCGTGCTGCTTTCCCTCCCTCGCTCCCTCGCTCCCCTCCCGTACGAGCCGAACGCGACTAGTATATGCTTACAAATTGGCCCGCTCCAGAATATGATACGCCTCCCACTCCAGCGCACCCTCCACCACCCAATCGAATCAATCGAATCGACCGAATTTTCTATCCTGAAATTTCCCGACGAATGCAAAGTCCGTTATTTACGCTCGATGCATATCAATGCGATCAGTTCGCAAGAGTTCCCGATTAATCGGTGGGGCCCCCCGGCGACAAACTTTCTATCCGGAAGCTTAACCGTTTCCCAGAGTAGGAGTTCGCCTACGCATCGTTTCCGTTCGTTAGTCTGCCATATCTCCGCTAAGTGCGAGTTAAGAGTGTCGATTAGATCCGATCTCCGCATCGCATCGTCGTTTGCCCTCGTCTGCGGCCTCGTTTCCGCCGAAGGCCCTCGCTCCAATAAAACCGAAAGTACCCTAAAGGGCCAACCCACTCTGCTATCGGCCAGGCCTTTTATTATTCTCCTCACCTCGCCATGGTTATTTCCAGCGAGCTTGCGCAATTTAAGACGGGCAAGAGTTCAATTAAAGCCCGAACGGAGGAGGTAAACCCGGGCTTCTTCGATTTTAGGTGGTGCCGCACTGCAGAGCTCATTACAGCAGAAGGTGCTGAAACGGTGGAGGTAATCCTGCGAAAAAACAAATCGCGCAACAAAAATCAGGAAAGTTTGGTGGGACTTTGGAGGAATGTGTTATTGTTGGAACTGGTGTTGGGAACGTTTCTCTCCGTCACGTCAGCCGACCACTAAAGAGAATAAGGAAACAAAAAGAGAGAGAAAGAAATGAGAATTCCGCTTCACGCTTCCTTGGCTTGTGTCTTATCCTGATTATATTTGCAGCAAAGGAAAGTGATAAGAAATCGACGAAACTTACACATGTGTGCTCACGGTGCAGACATGACTTTAGATTTTTCTTACTCAAGGTATCTTACGCTTTCATCCTTGCTCGGGTCTAGTCCTGTCCGCGTCTAATATTAGACACGTAGCTGCTAATTCTATTTGATATTGAATCGGGCCGATTGGGCACATGGTGAATTTCAGATTCCCTATGTAGCCTTCCTTCCCCCAAGTTCCCGTTTTGACTCGGACTCGAATAGTCAAATGCCGTCGAGACGTAAAAACAGAAATTCGCTTTGAATAGTGCGCTAAGATCTGCAGCCAGCGAATGGAAAAGTCTCTGCATTGATGTGCATGCCGCTCAGTCGCTCGGGCTGGTGTGCCCCGAGGTGACGTTCACACACCAGATGCGAACTTGTGCACCCGATAAAATATCGCTGCGCGCTCCAAATCCGCATGTATGAATGTGAATTTCGAACGATCACGACTGATGTGCTCGTCGTGATCAACCTCTTCGCACTCTGTGGGATGGCACAGCCCGACGCTCCAGTCAGTCTCACACTCCTGACTCCTGGACGGGTCAAAGTTTTGCTCTCCGGATACGAACTATGGAGTCGACGTCCACTCCAGTCGCTGCGCCATTCCCACCATTTCCATCTCGCTTACGTTCCTGGAATCGCTCACCCCCGTCCTTATCAGCTTGTTGACTCACTGGCACAAACAAGTTTCAACACGTTCCAAACTTGCTGATGCATGCCATTCCACTTGCGAGAATATTAATCAGTGTGCTTCATCAGCAAGCTGAATTTGCAGCTCCGGAGACCTTCAATTGGGGATCCTAAAGTCAACTGCCTCTAAACTCCGTCTACAAACTACTGCAGGCTTTTTCCTTGTCAGTCGGAATCTGTACCATACCAGATCAGCCATACACCGCCTCCAAAAACCTCGCGAGCTGTGTAATGATTTGTGGGCTTTCTTTTCAGTTAGTACCGTTGAGTGTGCGCTGTGATGTTGAGATAATCTTCTCTTAACAAGACCCCAGATATAGATTAAATTTCATAATACATTAAATACATCAATATAATCTTAAGTCTCGAATTCGTGACTTGATAAAACCGAGAAAGCAAATTCTCTTTTTGCAAGAATGAACAAATAGAATGATTTCTCTCTCGACTGTTTCCAAGCTGAATGTTATTCTATTTCATAGATATTGTTGCATATGGATTTTGCTTCACTTCTTTTTGGCGGTATGTCGAACATGGCCTTGGGGCCTTAGAGTTGCAGTACCGTAATAAGTTTTATGTGTTTCGTTTACCATCCAGTAAAAGACTTTATCTCAGGGTACTCAGAACTGAGATTCTATGACTCTCGAAGGTGCACAAGTTTGCGAATGGACTTTCAGTTCAGTGGAAAAGATCTCGTTGCAACATACGTACTTTTGTCACGAAATGCGACACTTTAAGAGAAGATGTATCATATGCGCCATCATGTTTCTTGCAACTAGATATTTATATCACAAGAATCCACCTCGTCCATCTAAGAATATGACAAAACCCAGCACCTCTATTCAGTTACATGTATAGCCAATGCTACCTCGTTGGGCCACGGTCTACGAGGACTACATTTTCATTAGTAGCCAAATGTGCCTTTCTTCCCTACCGCCACAGCTTTCAACTTGACTTGCAATCATATGGTGTCAACCCAAGAGCGTGAAACCACTCTAATGTATCCAATGTACTCATTCATCATCACATGGTGGACGCATAAATTCTCCGTAGTGGGTACAAGTAAATTCACAGGATTAACAGCCCACACGATTGAGAATGACGAAGACTCCATACCAGAGATTGAGATGAGAGTAGGGCTAGAATTAATTCTTCAAATTTGTAGCGCTATATCTGCTCAAAACATGAAGAGTTAATGCACAATTTAAATGTCATATTTGATAATTTATTTGTGAAATCAATCAATCAAATCACAATGATAATCATAAAAAAAACTGATCAACTTTTAGATCACTCTATATCTAACAAAACAAGAAATCAACCTATTGAATTTATTGTTGATTATAAAAAAGAGAAAAATAGAAATAAATTAAACATAAAATTAATTTAAACTCATAACTTGGCATATAATCATTTGACTATAAAGTTATTAAAGAAAAAAATTTAAAAAAATCTCAGATTTTTTAAAAAATTTCATTATCAATTTATTTAAGAGAAAAAAATTTATGCCTTTCTCTGTTTTTTGGATAATTGTATGTTATTTATCATCCAAAGGATCTTTATCATTGGATCAATGTACTATCCGTAGAAACAGGGCCTTGGCAGCCTTCCTCAAGTTTCATATTCTGTTTTGATTTTGTATCCTACAAAATATTTTGTATGTATTAAAAAAAATAAAATATTATTGAAAAATTTTCAAGTTAAATAATATATATATGAAAATCACAATCAAATCGGAATTTTTTTTAATTATATTAAAATTTACTCATAAATGGTTTTGATTGGATTGTGATATATCTATGTCAAAATCAAATGATTGCCATGAGAAAAAATAGAATACTATTTCATCTTGTTTATTCCTAGTGATGATGAATATTAATAATCCTTCAAATCAAAATATTTTGATTGTGATTCTGACAGAATAAAATGACGGTCAAAAATTTAAAACTTCATAGTATTGTTACGCTGAACATATTGGTAAAAAAGCCTCTTTTTGAAATTTTGTTTCTACCACATATACTAATCTTTATTCTGATAAAATAAAGAAAACAACTCAATCATCACCTCTAATAAGTTTTTCTCTATATGAATTACATATATTTTTGATATTCAAAAATTCATTTTATCATAATTTCTAATCTAGATTATCTTTAATGACAAAATATTTGATATGTAAAAGATTGAAATCTATTCTCATTTGAGGAAACAATTGCTTACTTTAGAACAATCATAAGTAAATTATAAATGACAAACAATACATAGAGATTAATTTTGTTTTCAGAGCTATTAGTTTCATTGTAAAACTCAATAAAAAGTATCATAGATTTGATATTTTGTTTAAAATTTAAATAGTATTTAATAATAATTAATTTTAATATTCACAATTTTCTAAAATTTTCAATAATTTTCGGATAAATTAATATAAAATCTAAACCTAAGGAGAGAAATTGTTACTCTTGAAGAAAGTGCAGTCCACCAAAAGCTAAGTTATAGAATTTGAAATTATTGGATGTACATTCACGTAGTGCGTGAATGTAAAAATGTGGTTTTCTTTTCTATTTTAATTGAATATTAAAACCTAGTAAATGATTTTCAAAAATTAATTTTTTTATAATAATAATTATCACAAATATATTATAATTTTGCACAGAAAAATATTTTAAATTAAAATTTCTATTTTTAATCAAAAATTATTTTCTTTAAGAAAATCAGGAAATATAATATAAAAAATAAAATGAAAATAAAATCAAAAGAAAAAAGCTCTATATTCATAAAATCATAGATAGCAAATAAAAATACATTTTTTAATCTAATTATATAGAATATCATAAGTCCAAAATAATTCAAAGTATGTGTTGTTTTTTCAATTTTTATTCTAATGCAATGATGATAATATGTCATCAATGATGATTAAAATCAGAATTTACAATTATTCAATTATTCCAGATTGAACGATAATACAAAGATTATTATGATCAAATGTATTTTTTTCAATTCAAAAATATTAGAACC